CCGTCATTGTTGTTTGCCGGGTCCGGGCTGGGGATTCGAACCCGCCACCTTAGGTGTACGTGGCTGGCGCCTTAGCCGGTTGAGCTATAGGCGCTGAGCCCATGCTTACTTTCTTAACTGGAAAAATTTTTTTCAAAACTTTGAAAGCCAGCAAACAGGATCATCGCTGGATTTGTGGATGACTTCTGTCAGAAGTCACATTCACCTAACAACGATTTAAGTAAACAAACTAGATAGTTTATATCACTCAGCAGTGCAGGTAAAGTAGGTTTTAACTTTGCTAAACCCGGTAAGAGTTGAGTTTATCATATGAGGAAAAGGGACATTGTTGAAGTTAGAAGAGTTCTCCTTACTCTTCTCCAGAAACACATGTTTCTACTAGGGAAAAATGCTATCACCAGAGAAGGATCTTCTAAACAGAATTGTCTAACAGTTATTACAACTCAATTTTAATTCATTTCAGTTTTGTCACAATTGAAACTAAGCAGCCTATTGCCTCTCTTTGGTAAAGCATCAAAGGTGGCTGTGATGGGCCACAATTATCAGAGGGATTTACCTAATAAATGCAAAACATGGTAACCTAATTCTTTGTACCCTAATTAACCTGAAACAATAAAAAAGAAAAAGAAAAATGGCTGTGTTGCCCTCTAGGATGATAAGACAGTTTTCCAGCCAGTTTTCTTAGCATAGCTTTGCTAAGTGGTCAGCGCAGCCTGGCAAAGTATGTTCTTTCCTGTCAATCAGAAATAAGAGTTTTGTCCTCCTAGTATTTAAAAACAACAGTAGATGCCAGATAATGTTATCCCTTAATAAATCTTTTGTTTGTAGTCTCTAGTATATAACAAACATGTATTTATTGATCTGTTGAAGGCAGGGAAGACACCAATAACAGTTAACCACCCCAACCTATCTTTCTACAGAAAAGCTCAGTGCATGTCTGGTCATTTCACTTGGACCGTCAGGTATCCGTCATTCTCCTAGGTCTGGCTGCAGTTTGCATTTGTTCAACAAGATTGGTGTCTGGTGTGAATTTACTGGAACTGGAATCAGTCACTACTCAGTCCTCTTGCAAATTCATAGTGACCAGATAATAAGCAGATATTTTTATTTCTTTGGCATAGACAGCAGAAGAAGCACTTGGCACCATTTCTGCCCGTCTTTATCTCACTGATATAATCACATACTTATCTAGCTGTGGGGAAAAGCTTCCCTCTTTTTGGTTGATTTCTGATCACATGTTCATATACATGTTTGTATATATGTTAAATTTTCTACCTAAACTCTATGACTATTGTGAAAAATAAACGAAACTTTAATTTTAAAGACAATTTTAATCCACCAAGATGATTTTTTAGGGAAAAAGTCTCATTAAATTTTGGCACTGTAGACAGTTTATGAGAAGATAAATGTGGAAGAGCCTAGGCCAGGGCACAGCTGGCACTCGCCAAATGTTTGTTTTCTTCTAGATAATTAGCTGATTGATGTTAGGAATTTTAATATCTAGGGTTCTGTTTTTTAAAAAAACGCTTTTATGTGTTTATGTGTGAGTGTGTAAGTGAATACACACAAACATACTCCACATCTCTCCAAGGCCAAAGTTCCTAGGACTATAAAATCTGTGTTGAAATTCTTTTCATATATGGTTAACTGACCTTGCCCTAAAAGTACTGCAGCAGAGGTCCACATTCTTTATGGACTAAGATATGATATTATTATATATTATATATAAATTGCAAATCTGAAAATTCCATAAGGCTGTTTTCTAAAAATAACTTACAGTTCTACAGCCTCATACTCTAAACCTGTTAAATGGTCAATTAAATTACCCTTTCATTAAAACCAGTGTTCAAATGTCCTAATGCAGTAATTTTAGAAACTCACCCAGAATTTAGTTGTATGTCAAAATCCAACTGTTATATGATAAGACTGCCTGGTTTTTAATCATCATAAAGATCTGTGGTTTTTTAAGTCACTTCTCAAAGAAGCACTAAATTTGCTACGAGGTTCCCCATCCTCCCCAATGTGCTATCAGATCAGTGACTCACATACCAGGTAATTTCTCAGGGCTATACAGACTAACTCCAAAATGACCACATTAGAATGCCTAACCTAGCAGGTCCCACTGGGGATTTGCCTACAGATGAGGGACACTGTCATTGAGGGTGAATGTTATTCACACTCCTGTACCAGCACCACTGGCTGATTTGGTGCCAACGTCAGAGGATCTCTACCACCTGCTTTAGTTCTGCTTTGAGTACCTAGAATCATGTCAGAAAAATGTCTCCAAGTTTTTGCAACTTGGATTTTTCAAGGTCCCCATCAAAAGAAAAGTTGTTACTTGTTCCTTAATGTAAACATCTTTATAAATCTGTTGCTTCCTATGTTTGCTTTGAGAATCTCAGCAAGTTAAGGTAGCACAGTGATGCTTTATGCTAACAACATCATAAAAAATCAATTTGAGAATGCTGTTATGTCCTTTATGTACTCAGAAAGGATTCTGTTTTACATTCTGAAGTTTTCATTATCTGTTTTTTTTTATTCTAGAAGTTTTGCAGCAGGTTTTGGTGAAAAGTATAACGATTTTTACCTCAGATCTTTAAAGTAGCTGATCATAAATTTGAGGTTGTATTATTGCTCAAAAGACTCAAGGGTCCAGGTGCAATTGTTCACAGCTCCCAGCACTTTGGAAGGCTAAGAGGAAGGATCAGTTGGATCCAGGAGTTTGAGACCAGCCTGGGGAGCAACATAGTGAGACCCTGTCTCTACAGAAACAAATTTTTAAATAGACAGGCATGGTGGTGTGTGCCCGTAGTCCCAGTTACTCAGGGAGATGAGGCAGGAGGATCACTTGAACCCCAGCAGTTCAAGGCTACATCATGCCACTGCGCTCCAGCCTGGGCAACAGAGTGAGACCCTATCTTATAAAAAAAAAAAAAAACCAGGGAGGATGGGGCCTTGCTGAGGTGGGAGGCATTGAGTAATCATGGTTACTAGGAGAACAAAGAGTGGTTCCATGTGGACTAGTGAGGAGTAATTTTATATCTAAGAAGTAAAATAATGATGGTAAGATCTGGGCAATTTAATATGAAATAAAGGAAGCAGGGCATCACCCTGGAGGATTGTGGCATCAGCTGTCTGCTCACCTTGGCTGAGAATGGAGATGATCTTGTTAAATTGCCGTAAGAAAAAGAAGAAAGTTGGTTCTGGAGAATGGTAGCTGGAAACAGACAAGTTCTTGGAGGTGGTGGAAACTCAAAGTATGATGTCACTGAAGGGCAAGGTAAAAAGTATAGTAGCACGTCAGGACCAAAAAGATAAGAGGATAAGCAAAATCCCCATTTGTTCTGTCCCAACAGAGCTTCACCGTTCAGTGCAGAACCCACTTCACTGAGTGAAATAGAGCCCCTGTCTAAACTATAAATTGGCCAAAAGAGTACTCCAGCAGCTGTGCAGTGGACGGTAGCGAACAGCAGGAGTATGGGTGGGTTGTGGAGCCCTACCTTCGGGTGTGGATTGATAGGCCTCCAGTAAAAGGGAGAGGGAAGGAATGTTAGAAAACTGCTCGCTGTAAAAGATAAAAAGGGTCCAAAAATTGCAATAGATCGTGATTCTTTTCATCTGTCGTATGACATAAGGCTCCAAAAGGACAGCTGCTGACTTTGCTGCTGTTGAGCCAAATTAGATTTTTAAGCAAGCCATTATTAGAGCACCTTAGTTATGTTTCATGTGCATGGCTTCAGCTGGAAAATGTAGAGGTTTCCCTGTCTCTGAACTTTTGCTTTCAGAAGAGGTAAATAATTTCAGAGAGGCAATTGATGGAACCAAGTGAATTTACGGTGAGTGGATTTGACTTTTCAGAAAAAGACATGCGGTAAAAACTAATCAACAGATTGTGACACTAAAGAGCAATTAGGAAGCGCTTTTAGAGATTTCATCAGAACCCAGATAGAGGAATAATTTTACAATTCTAATAATAACTCTGAAATAAAAGGTCTGTTTTGACAATATTTCACAAATTTCTCAGTTTAAGGAGAGCAAGGACAGGCTGATTACTGCTGCGTGTGTGTTGCTGTAGCTCCCCATAAAACGCCATTTCTTAAGATTTAAAAAATGTCATTGTTGTAAACCGTGTTGTCAAGTACCATACTTTCTTTTATCTATTGCTTAAAATTTGGCCTTACAGTCAGAGTGCTGTCTTTTAATACAAACAGTATACTATTGTCTATGTTTTTACTGCTTTTTTCTTATTTTTTTTTACCACTTCTAGTGAAATTATCAGAAATCCAGGGGTTATACAGTTAATATAAAAGCAGAAAATGCCTAGTGTGTCATTCCAAGGAAGGTCGATAAAGACAAGATCCCAGAGGTCACAGCTTCAGTCCAAGTAAAGCACAAAAAACAGCTTTGCATAAAATTACCATTGAAATATATGTCTTTGTTACATACTATAGAATAGCATGTCTGACTTTCAAAATGTAGTAATTGAGAGGTGGTGAGGCTGCTTTTATAACCATATTACAGAAAAAAAAAGGTATTGAACACCTTTTCTTACTGGTTGTCTTTCTGATTTCCATTTCTGAGCATAAATTGCTCTTTTAGCCATATGAATTATGGATTAAAGCAAAGCAGCAACGTGGAAATCTTTAGGATGACTTTTGAAGATTAAGGTAGTATTAGCATTTTGTAGATGTACAGAGGGAAACTCTAAACCTATAGCAGTGACAAAGGAAAAAAGGTATTAGGGAAACTTGTTTCCTTCTTTTGTATCTTTTTTTTTTTTAATTGAAACTGCCAAATGGGTATTAAACTAGAGAAGTTGTCCCTATCACCTCTGCCAGACTCTTTATGCCGAGGAGCTGTTCACTCCAAAGCCTGGGGATTGACTGGCAGGCAGGATTGAGGTAGAGGATGGCTGAGGCATGCACAGCTCAAGGTTCCCTGGAGCTCAAGGAAGCAGGTAGAGGCAGCCACAGTTGGATGGTGTGTGTTGGGTGCAAGTGGCTTGGGATTGTCCTGTTGGAAAATCCTGAATTCATGAGAACATTTTTAAAGAAATATATTCTTAATACAGTGAATCACGTAACAACAGAATTGCCTGTTTAGATGATTCCTCTAGGTTTTCCAGTAATTGGTTATATGTAACCATTCATGCTAGTAGGAAAAAACACTGGAAAGAAATAAGCCAAAGTATTCATGATGGTCTCTCAAGGGGTAGAATTATGATTGATTTTTTAATGTGTTATTTTATTTCTCTGTATATTCTCTAATCTGTTTCACAATGATTTCTATTTACCTTTTTTGCTGAGAAATAAGCATTTCTATCCAAAACATATAAAAATGTTATCTCAAAAGTCAGGTGATTTTCTTACTTGTCTTTTTCATCTATTAGGTATATCTAAACAGGGATGAGAGGTAGATGGTAAAAAGAGCACTTAAAAAATGATTAGGCTCGGCACCTGTGGCTCAAGTGGCTAAGGCGCCAGCCACATACACCTAAGGTGGCGGGTTCGAATCCCCAGCCTGGACCCGCAAAACAACAATGATGGCTGCAACCAAAAAATAGCCAGGCATTGTGGCGGGCGCCTGTGGTCCCAGCTACTTGGGAGGCAGAGGCAGGAGACTCGCTTGAGCTCAGGAGGTGGAGGTTGCTGTGAGCTATGAAGCCACAGCACTCTACCCAGGGGGATAGCTTGAAGCTCTGTCTCAAAATAATAATAATAATAATAATTAAAAAACTAACATTTAAAGGTGTTTTTTTCTTTGAAATAATAGATTTATTTTGCAGCCAAAGTCAAGGTGGATTAAATTGATGAAAAGTTATTAACTGTATTGATTAAAAATATTCCACATGGAAGCCCTCTAATATATTACACACATCACTTAGTTTCCAGATTGTCAGTGTTTATTGAAAGCCAGTTTCTAGGCCTTCCAGGGTGCATTTATTATAAGTGCTTTTAAATGCAGAGCAGATTCCTTCTGGCATACAGGTGGTGTTCTGCTAGTGATATATGAATGTTTAAAACTGCATGTTTTTGTCTTGCAGAGTTGTCTTGGTTCAACTGGTGCCTTCCCGGGTCGTGTTTGCTCAGTCTCCTCCTCATTCTGTGCTTCAGGGAATCCTATGACAGACTCTATCTTGACGTGGTCGTCTCAGTTTAACAGCACAGACTTGGAGGAGTTAAAGGAGGCTGGAAATCAATACTGCACACTGCACATTTGCTTGGAGTTGCACATCTAACAGGAAGAAAAGGAGAAGAAACTTCATTCAGAGGTTTTGTTAGGTTACAGATTACCACATTAATTTAATTACTATGAGGGAATGATAATAAGGGGCTTGAGTGGTGATAGGGGATTTTCAAACTCCACAAGTGGCATACTGGGGTTGGAAGGATGATGTCTTACGCTAAAGCACTGAATCCCTCCATGTTTCGTGCCAGTGCTAAACTACTGATTACTTGTAATTATGAAAAGAAAACAAAGGTGTCTATCACAAGAAGATAACCCCTGCCCTAAGTCACGTATCAGAATAGGAATAAAGGCCACTAACTTCTAAAGAAGTTCAAATCCTGGATCAGATTTTAATTATAAAATAGCCAAGAGGTATATTGATGATAGAAATTAGCCTGTGTACACTACATTTTTTTTCTAATAAAGCCATTTCTTATATGACTCTATCTTTAATCAGGTCAGAAGCCTTTGGCGATTTTATTACAGTGATCAAGTGCTTTCCAGTGACTGCAGAGCACAGGCACTGTGCCTCCCTCTCAGCTTATCCTTGTTTCTGTGAAATACAGTTTCACCTGCTAGGCCCTTAAGTAATGATATTAAGGGTGACTAAACGTTTAATATAGTTGCATTAAATGTTGTATGAAAAGTGTCATTTCATTAGGGTTTAGCTCTCTGTTAAAAGTAAAATGGCAAGTCGCACAGAACATACAGTGTCTTCTGCTTACACACAGTGGGCATGAACTGTAAGGTCCAGAGCCCTTATTTACCAGGGTTAGATTTTGCTAAATGACCTTTGTTTGAAGTTAACAGTTTATAACACTGAAACTTTCAAATCTGTTGACTGATTTCTAAGTTACGTCCTTGAATTTAAATTTAGGTTGTGAAATACTCGATTGTACGTGGTGTGGACGTATTTGAGGGGGCAGCATTTTGCCAGTACCTGTTTTCTTTCTACCGATGATAGCCTTCTTAAAAATAGCAATTACTTTTTGGCTGGCTCTCAGACAGGTATTTCATTATGACATAAGATATGCTGCAGCGGGAGTATGATATCACCACTCCTCACATTTATATATTACAATTTCCTTCACACAGAAAAACCATTCTCCCCCAAAGCCAATATTACTTTACCTTTATTATTCTCAGCTCCCTCCAGCCCCCCTCCTTTTCGCCTCACTTGAAATTGTATCTTCATTGTCAGCTAATTATGTATTGTCTTTTTCTGGAGAGATAAAGAGCAGGCCAGCTAATGTCGTCCAAGGTGGCAAAGTCCAGCTGAGGAAGGCCGGTCAGCACGTAACTCGTCCCCATGTGTGCGCACACTGCCACAGACGGCTCCCAGACTCGCAGGTGCCTCGCCCTCTCCCTCAGGTGCTAGGCTGTGCACTAACTCTCCTCCATTCTACAGAAGGATTCCAGCACAGCCTACGTCTTCTAAGACCCTAGATTATGAAACTAGGAAAGTAAGAAACCCCTCAAATGTACATCTGTCTCAGTCATCTTAAGTCATCTCCCTTTCTAATCACCCTGCTCACTTAGCAGAAAGAACTAAAGGAACTCAGTAGCTTGCTAAAGAGAATAAGAAAACCAATAAAAGCTAGGCTTAGTTCTGGCTAACTCTATCATTCTTCTTAAATAGAAGTGAAATAAAAGGAAGGCATAATTCTTGAAGATGATTGAAACCAGCCACTAAAGATAACTGTGCATGACCGGGATGCTAATGTAAGCACGACCCCTTTCCGTTTAGGAAGAACATAGAAAAGAAAGGGAAGAATTATGAGGTATTTGGTTTTATTTGGGACAATTGTGTTTTGAAATATTGCTATGTAAAATTCTATAAGAGTTCTGCTGTAGAACATTTTAATCATGGTTAGCTCTACATTTGTAAAAGAGATAGGGTCTTGCTATGTTGCCCAGGCTGGACCCCAACTCTTGGGCTCAAGTGATCCTCCTACTTCAACCTCCTAAGTAACTGGGGCTACAGGTGCACAACACAGTGCCTGGCTTTATTCCACTTTTAACACAAAGTAATACTTTAAAAGTATCTCCTAAATGACTTTTTTAATTAGTTCAAAACATCCCAAATGGGAGTGATTAAAAATTCTTGCAGTGTGCTAGGCACCAATTCTTATTTTTAATAAAATACATGAGAGGCAATCCATTCCCCCTATTTCATTAGTATCCACTTACCCCTCCAGCAGATAATTGTTCTAATCACAAACTGCAGCCATTTTAAGCAATCAAAATTTCATATCCACACCTAATAGGAAGGGAACCAAAAGACTTTGGGGTGGGGGGAAGATTACATATCACTTACTTGAATATTGCAAATGATATTTCCTTTATTTCTAGCATGCTTCAAAATAGACCAGCTGTCATCTTTGCGTTTTCTAAACACTATACTATAGAATCCAAATGAAATTTTATTGCTGAAATAAATCCTAACCCTTCACTATTCAAGCCTTCATTTTAGAATTTATAGAAACAATCACAAGAGGAGAAGTACGTTGCCAAAGGTCACAATCCTAGCTAGTGGCGAAAGTGGAACAAGGACCCACATTTTCTGATTCTCAAACCATTTTTTTTCTTATCTCACAGAATTACAGCTTAATTCAGACCATTTTGGGTATTCATGAGTGCACTTCATATTCAAACATGATGGGGCTTAAGAGTAAGCTCTCTTTATTGAGTAGAGGAAGAACAGGGATTAAATGGAGGTGATTATTTATTTTGTAAATAAAATTATTCTATTTCCTTATCACTATCCTGTAGGTGCCCTGAAATCTCTTAATACTCAGCTCGCAGTGACATAATGTAAAAAAGATTCTGATGAATAATTCAGTCCTCATAAACCAAGTCAACAGCATTATTAATTGGTAAGGACATGTTGTAAGTTCCCTACAGCTTATCAATTAATATTTCACAGTTTATGGGAAGAAACATTTCTTAATATGATCCATGGTGGAGGTATAGGAACAAGACAATTGCAGTCACAAATGCATTTCACTAGAGGATGGAGCTAATAACGAGAGAATCAAGTACAAATGTAATTTTGTATATTTAAGCATGTATGGCCTAAGGGCCAAGTTTATTCATAGATCATATATTCGTGTTTAATTATTGAGGATGTTTACAGCTTATTTTGTGAAGCCCTTCTAATGAGGGATCCAAGCTAAGGGATTTTAAATTGAAGAGATTAAATTCCCATCTACTTATCTTTTAATTAGATTTTTTTACTATTATTTTTACTAAAATTTAGCCATTCATCTTAACTGTATAAGTACAAGCTTCATTTTAAACTCAAGACTGAATTAAAAACAGCAAATTTGCTTTAAAGTTAAAAATCTCATTCAGTTTTACGTTTGTCCCTGAAATAAGTACAGGAATTAATATGATTATACTGTATTATCAAGCAAATGCAACAGCTGTGATATGAAGAAAATGTCCTATTAAAAAAGAAATATAGAAAACTATGAGAATATTTGATCAGACCTATTTTATACATATTGGAAAAACATACAATTTCTACTTTAATTTGTAATTATATAGAAGGGAAGAAGGTTTAAGTTATTTCTCTACATCAGTTTGCTAGTCTGTGAGGCGATGCAAGCTGTGCTTAAAGGGAAAGAGTTGTGCACTTAGGAGACACTTGAGAGTGTCACCTCTGGCCGGAGGATGGGAGTGATACAGGCAGTCACATAGCCCTAAATCTTTCTGATTTTAATTTTTTCTTGGTTGGAACTGAAACAGCAGCAGCTCCTTTTTTCGCTTTATGATTTTCTGAGGCTCTGACTCATCCTTATTGCCTGGTAGCTTTCTAAACCCTTGGATGACTATGACTGCAGCTCCATACCCAAGATTCTCTGTTTCCTTGAAGTGACCTCATCCCCTCCCCAGGTTCCCAGGCAGAAAACTCAGTCTTATTCCTAAGTAGTAAAAAAGGCCATATGCCTAGACTTCCCTCTCCCGACACCAGCACCATCAGAACATTAGTGAATTCTGGTACTCCAAAAAGATTTAACAGTTCTTCCTCTCACAGCTAAGCTTCATAAGTTAGAATATTTCCTTGAAATGTGAATTTCAAAGGCCTCTAGCCAGTTTCTGTAGTTGGAAGTTTAGAATATGAGTTAATTGCTTTCTGTAGTCTTTTAGTCCTTAGAACTTGGTAGATCTCAAACAATAGCTTGCTATCTTAGCCCACTCTTAAAAAGAGACATCAAAAAGTTAACCCCGCTCCAGCTGTGCATTGAACAAAGGAGGACTAAAAAAATCTTGAACATAGCTGAAAAAATGAAACAAAGCATAGGATTAGCATAGAATTGATTTCAGTAAGTTTGTGATAAAATGATAAACGTATCAAATCAACTTAGCTCTAAACATGCTTTCCAGACTTAGGACGTTGTAAGGCTTGAGAGTCCAAAGGGGATACTGGAAAATCAACCCCAACATCACAGCACTTTTCGGGTTCCCCACTGGTTCTTATAAAATATGAAGGAAACTTCTGCATTCTTGAACAAAATGGCAAGGATACTTGCCAAAGTATCTCTGGATACTTTGAGTTTATCTTAATATTAGAAAGAAATACTTTGTCAGATTCCCATTTACCCAGAAGGAACATAGAATCAAAGGGTTATCTGATTCACTACATCATTTTACAGATAGCAAACAGAGACAAGTTTGAGTTCAATAACATGGCTAGGTTTTAGCAGGTTCCCCCAGCTCCTAGACCAGCATTCTCTCTATGAATGATCAATATGTTACCCAGAGTAAATTTTTTTTTCATTGATATATATTTTTTTCTTTTTTTCTTTTCTTTTTTTTTTTTGCAGTTTTTGGCCGGGGCTCGGTTTGAACCCACCACCTACTGCATATGGGACTGGCGCCCTGCCCCTTTGAGCCACAGGCGCCGCCCATCATTTATATTTTAATGTTTTGAAAATTACACAAGATATTCATGAATATGATACCCATTAAAAAATAGTACATGAATATAAAGTGAAGTGTGCCTCCACCCAAACATGTCTAATTCATCCTCTCTAGAGGGAATCTTATATCCTTCTAGAAACTTACCTATGCATTTACATATATGTGTGTAAAAGCTTGGGAATTTAAAAATGAGTCATCTGAGAGACTGTTTCCTGGACTGTGTTGGCATAAACTTTAAGGGCAGAAGCAGGAGTTTCTGAGATCATTATTTCCCTGCCACATGAGTCTTATCAAATGTAGCACACAGTGGTTAAATAGACATTTCACAGACCTGGTTATGTACCATCAAGCTCCATCATCCTCTGGCATTTCAAAGTGAGTTCTAATATGCACTATTCTATTTTCTTAAGTTTCTATTTTTATACCCATCAACTAAGCTCCCCTAACTATGAGAGAAGAAAGTGAATGGCCCACCCCCAAAATCCAAATAGATCCTCCTAACAGGGCTTTCCTGGCCACCTCATCTCTAC